TCTGAATGCTGTTGGAAGCTCTCTGAGATGACCCTTCCAGGCTTCTGGGCCCCTTTGTTGTCCTGGTTCTCTGTGCTCAGTCTGAGTCAGCTCTGTCTCTTCCTGATTCCTCCTCTTGCCTCACCTGCCCCTTAAACGAAGCATTTTTTTTTTTAAGATTTTATTTATTTATTTGAGGGCGAGCACAAGAGCATGAGCAGAGGGAGGGGCAGAGGGAGAAGCAGACTCCCTGCTGAGCAGGGAGCCCACAGTGTGTGGAGTGGGGGGGTCGGGGGGCAATCCCAGGACCCTGAGATGAGATCATGAATGCCCCCAAAGCATTTTTTATTTTTTAAGCCTAGTCTCTCCTCTCTGCTCTTTTCTTCTTGGCAGCTGCATCCTCTGAGACCCCAAAGCTGATGGCACCTGCCCTCTTGCCAGTGATAACCCTCAGTCCTTATGTTTCCGCTTATCCAAAAGCAAACTTGTTTCCCATCCCCAAGCTTAATCTCTGTGGAAACCGTGGGGTACACGTTCTTGCCTAATCCTGGAGGAAGTGACAACTAAATCCTGCAAGATTGGGGGAGGGAGGTGACAGGCACTGTGAGCAGAGGCCTGAAAAGGGAGGTGTCAAAGGTAGTAAATGAAAAAAAAACATATTCAGAGCTCACTTCTCTGACCTGTAGTAATTGCCCAACCTGTGGTAGATCTCTGGATATGTGGTTGTCTGGTCCCTCCCTTTCCAGGTGAAGAACCCAGGTCCTGAGGAGTGACTTGTCTAAGGCTGCTCCAGCCCTGAGAGCCAGTCTGTGTTCTCCCAGCCGGAGCAAGGCGCCAACTGGTAGAGATGTTTAGTGAGTTGGGATCCAGGGCCATAGGGAGAATGCCAGTGTTTTGCTGAGGCTGGATGTGGCGCAGCTAGCTTTCTTCTGCAGTTTCTACTGAGCCTTCGTTTGTGCCCCCTCGGGCCACTTTGTTAGCACCGCAGCCTCTGGGCAGGTCCAGAGGGGAATTGTGGTGAGAGGTGCTGTGCCCACTTACCTGACCTGCTGCTCAGGCAGCCCTCTGCAGGGGGTTACTGAGGCTCTGGGTTGGGAGAGCGCTGGACCAAAGTGAGTTACGGTAGGCCAGCAGACAGTCACCCCTCGGTGTGGGGAGCCCTGTGAGAGGCACAGTCGAAGGTGGCACTGCCCAAGTCAACGCCTGGTTCCAAGCAGAGCAGCAGGGTTTGGTTTTGTTTCAGGGTGAGACTAGTGGGTGTAGTCTGCATGTAAACAACGAAGAAACATTGTCCTTTTTCCCCCCAAAATAAGTCAGTTTTTCTTATACATGTTCATTATAAGAGGTAATTTAAACAATACCAAAATACCAAGAAGAAAATAAAATTCACCCTAAATCCAACCACTCCGTAATCATGACTGACACTCAGCTGTTGGGCCTTCCAGCCTTTTAGCCCTTAATGTGAACACACAGATCCCTATTTTTTCAATTACCATAGCTATTGTGTATGGGCACATCCTATATGTCAGGCCTCATGCCAAGTGCTGGCTGGGCAGCAGCTCCTCCTGCCTCAGGGCCTTTGCCCGTATCATCTGTTCCCCTGGCTACACCAGACATGATTCTTCAGAATTTTAGGTTTCATCTTAAATGTTAGAGTCCTTTGTTAGTTGCATCACACCCAGTACATTCCCTTGATTACTTGTACCGTTGTCTGCTTTTTACTTCTGTTTAATGTCTGTTCCCTTCACTACTGGAAGCTCTCAGAGGTAAGGAACTGCCTCTTTTTTGCCTGTCAGAGATGTTTAATAAATACTGTCAAATGAATGTGCAAATGATTTCATTTAATCTTCAAAACTCTGAGAGGACATTATTTTCCCTGCATTTTAGAGATTTTAAAACTGAGGCTTAGAGCAGTTACTCAGGCAGCGCGAGGTCACACTGCATACATAAGTGGATCCATGTCTGGCTCCACGTGGCCTGTGTGCGCTCTCTTAGGAAACAGACGGTCCCTTTTTAACAGTGTATTGTGAGAGTCGTCGGTAGACGTTTGTGTACCTAATCTTTAATGATGCCATGGCATCCCATTGTGTGTATGTAATTTGTTCATCCACTCCTTTATTGGGCTTCCCAATTTGTCCCAGTTACGGAGGACTTTGTGGTGAACGTCTCTGAACTTCCATATTTGCCCACTTGTTTGAGCGCTCATACTTTGATTCTACAGGATAAATTCCTATCAGTCTGCACATTTCTTTACATCGTGACCAGCTGCAAGATGGGGCAAGGAGGTGCTTGAAGGAGTGGGTATCTGCGGGCGGGGTGCGCGTTAGAATCTGCGGCACTGTGAAAATGCTCCTGCCCGGGTCACACACACCCCAGGAGGCCTGTGGTGGTCTCGGGCACTAGCATTGCTTTTAAAAAGTCTGCAGGCTGTTCTGAGGTACCCCGGGTGAGGACCGTCGGAGTTGGCGCGTGGTTGCGACAGGTGCAAAGGCGGAGAGGTTGTAAAATGCACTCCGCCCTCGGGACAGTTCGCGGCCTGCGCCGAGCCTCCATTTCTGCCTTTGTAAGGGGCTTGCGAGGAACGCGACTTGAAGGGTCCAGATTCCTCCGGGCCCCAGCGTTGGGGGGCCAGGTTTGATTCTACCCGCTCTCCCAGGCAGGCCGGGCGGGGGAGCAGCTGGGAAGATGACGTAATGTGCTCACAGCTCGCTCCGGGGGCGACCAGCAAGCGGGGGCGGAGAGTGTTAACCCTTCAACCCCCAGCCGGTGGATGGAATAGCTTGTAGAAGCCGACCCAACGGAAAAAGGAGCGACGCCTTTAAGCCTGGGGAGGAAGGTTGGGCTGAGGACCCGGAGGCCTCTCTTCGCATTCGCTAAGAGCCCGCGAGGGGTGGGGCCTTGCTATGCAAATCTAAGCTGCTGATCGATGACGCGCCATCACCCCACGCGCCGCTTCGCGCGCTGATTGGTCACGAAGAGCCTGGTCCCATTGACAACAAACAAGGGGGCGCGCGGCCTGAGGGCGGGGCCGCAGAGGGCGCGGGTTGGGGCGGGGTAATCCCGCCCCGCCCCTCCCGCGCGGCGCAAACATGGCGGAAGCTGGCACCGGCCGGTGAGGCGGTACCGGGAGGAGGCTGTCGGGTGTCATGGGCGGTGGCGGCGGCACCGCCCCCGCGTCTCCCTGAGCGGGACGGTAGGGCGGCCTTCGAGCCGAGCCCGGCGATGGACGAGAGCGGCGAGCTGGGCGGTCTGGAGACCATGGAGACGCTCACAGAGCTGGGTGAC